TCTTTCTTATAAACATTACTATTTCAGTTAGGAAATGTGGTAACACTCTGGCAGAACACTTCCAAGCAAGTCAGTGTGTATATGTACGCAGATAAAGGTGGAAGAGAAAGAGGTTTTAAACATATCTTCTGTCACTTTCTCTCTTCTCATTATAAGGCCCAATTTGTAAAGAATCATAGAACTCTAACTCAGTGCTATGAAGTAGGACTCTTGAACCAGAGAAGCTTATCTGTTACCATTTTGAAGACTAAATTGTGATTTTTGAATGCTTAACTGACCATTTAAAATGCATTTTAAATCAGATTATTTTTTTAAAAATCATTTTTATCAGATCTACTATTGAGGAAAAGTAAATGTCTCCACTGTTTGTTCTTAATGCAGCACTTGTGATTCAAATATAAACATACAGTTCTGCAGTAAATGTAAACTCTAAAAGTTAGGTGTGATCTTAAAAGCTCTATGGATCCTATTAAGCATTTAATTCTGCCCTAAACTATGCAGAAACCTCAAGCAATAACTTGAATTGTGTATTTCAGTAGACTGCAGTTTCTAAAAGCATCTAACTCCCTGTTGCGAATCCATCCAGCTAAGGACAGAAAAACTTTGAAAAAACTCTTCACTGCATATGATGGAATCTATTTGCCTCATAATTGTAGTGCTGGTTCCATAAAGAGACCCCCAGCAGTTGCTAATTGCATCCAGAAAACTCATTACATTATACCAATTGGATTTTTAATTAGAAATGCAGATGGCAACTCATCTATTACATGGTAAGATCCAACTGGGAGAGAAATCTCAATTCCATTTTGGATTCATTCACCTTTTGGATGCTGGAAAAGAATAAAGAATGAGAATGTTGAAACTGTGACTGATGTTCTGTCTTCCAATGAAGGCTCATTTTGTACCAAGGCTGAAGGTCACAAAAAGTAAAAAGGAGAAGCATCTATGAAGTCAGCTTCAGAAAAATGAAGATCTTCCCAGTGAGCTGGAAAGTCAAGAAAGAAAAAGCTAGCCAAAATGATTTTGCAGTTACGGATAAACACCTCTCCCTTCTTCTGAGTGAGGAGAAAGTAAGTAGAGATGCTCACCTCCAATTAAGATTCACTTGAGTCTATAATTCCTTTTCTTATTGTACAGAAAAGACCATAAATATCTGCCTCATGCTGACAGTAACACATAGGCTGTGAAGGAGCATTGCTGCATGCCAAAGTGCTTGGTGGCAGCTTGGATGTATCAAGCAGCAGTATCCTGATGACACAGTGGGCAAGGTCACAGCCTGCATCTGCAGGTACTCGTGATGAAAACCACGACTGTCACTTTTCCATGTTTGCCTTGTCCTTCTGGATTGTAAGATCTTTAGGAAAGCATCAAACAATTGTTGCAGGTTTCTGCAGCCTGGACTAGTGATATTTTTGACTCAGCACAGACAGGAAGCTCAGCTTTGCCCAGTTCCTTTCTCTGAAGGTGTAAAAGGTGCGTGGGAGCCTACATGCCATGTTTCTGCACATCTTTTGTTCAGATGAGGCTTTTAAATTTGTCCTTTCTATTGAGGAACAATGTACTCTGTCTCTTCCATTCAGATGCCATCAGGAAGAAGTAGAAGTGTTTCTTTTTTGCTGCAGTGAAGACACTTGAAAATAAAAAACCATTAGCCAGTGTCAACCTAAAGAGGTGAATGCTGTCAAGGTATTGGTTACTGTTTCCTCTATAGGCACCTTTTTGTGCGTGTGAATCTTTCAAGTGGATGCAATGACCTGTCCTCCTGACCGCAGATTCTGTGAACAGTTATTGTCTCGGGTCATGAAAGAGTAGGACAACAACAAGGACTCAGATTGATTCTCTTTTTTTATAGTCTTCTGTTGCCTGTCATAAAAGTGCAACACTGCCCCTTTTCTTTCTTTTTTCCTTTTTTGTCAGTAATTCCACAGTGCCTACTAAAAGCCTAGAGGTGAAAACTTCTAAAACATTTTATTACAATTTTAATTCCTGAAATATTAAGATTACTGTTTTGCTTTTAGAAATACTTTTAATCCTTTATAAGCAAACATCAGAAGTGTTGACATGCGTTGTTCTGAACAAGTGAATGATTTCTGAGTGGCTTTCTGTGATGTCAGGAAGTTAAACCAAGGCACCAACTAAAAAAAACCAGTCCTTCTATTTTCCCAAAGATGGCACTTCCTTGTCCTTCTCATTCAGCAGGAGCAGCCTCACAGCTGACACTAGGCTGCATCCTTTCATTCATTGTCACTTATGCTATTTCATTCCAGGTAAAGATGAAAATGATATATATGGTTTAGCTCACCTGATGCATTCCATCTTAACATCCTGACTTCAGTTGCTCTAGCAGGAACGAATTTAAACTATTCAGGCTGGTTTTTTTACATTATATTCTTCTTTCTCTGGTCAAAGAACACCTGCTTGGTGTAAGGTTTCACTCCAGTGCAGGTACCTGAAGTTTGCCAAAAGCAGCCCTAGTGTTAGGAATCAGTTTTGCTGTTAAACAAAGCTGCATTATGAACTTTTGCAATTAAGTCAGTTGGCATGGGCATAACAGCCATGCTAAACTTGGACAGATGTATCCACCGTGTTCTTTGTCAGTTGATGACAAAGGCTCTTTCATACAGTCATAACGCTTGGAAAAGACAACTGAGATCATCTATTGCAACTGTTAATTCCTCAGTGACCGGAGGTGGTATTGGAGAGGAAAGGTTGCCATTCAGACCAGTTTCCAGAGGGCAAGAACCAAAGATGAAAGAACAGTGGGAAGATGGCAATAGTTGCCAGAGGCATTATTTTATTCGCTATAACTTCTGCAGGATTCA